ATCTCAATCTCCTGAAGGACAACCTAAAGTGACTTTGTTCTGACCTTGGCGATGCCACCCAAGGTCAAACTGATAAAATTAGTAAATAGATTTTAAACCCTACAACTTTTATCCAAATTTTTTTATAAAATTTATATTTTTTGAGATATTTGACCGTTTCCAGACTTTTGGCACACTCGGTATATAAAACCGCACGGATAATTTAATTTATTACATTTCTCTATAAAAGACTGAACTAAATTATGCCGAATAAACGAAAATATCGGTATAGTGCTCGGTACAAGAGCAAATTGCTAAAGCAACAACTTGATATGATACTCGATAAACTGCAACATGAACAAACATCTTCCATTGACGACTCTGATGAAAATGAGGAGGATCTCACATCACTTTCAAATGCACTTGACAATGAGGACTTGCAACTCACCAACGAAGAAGCAACATGCACAACCACAGAAGGGAACGAAATAGTACAACATAACGATTGCGAGAATTTCTACAATGATGAAGATCAACGTACGCCCGATCAAATTGCACTGGATGATGTTTCCCATTCTGATGAATATCCAAGCGATACTTCCTCAGAAACAGGCAGTGAAAATCAGAATAGTTTAAACGTGGATAGACTGCAAAAAAACCTTGCTTACTGGGCAATAAGCAAAAGAATAACTCGATCATCCGTTAATAAACTTCTACAAATACTGCGAGAAAAACGGGATTTGCAATCTTTGCTAGCAGATGTTCGAACTCTTCTGAAAACACCGAGATCAGCTAAGCCGATGACAATGGAACATGAGCAATATTGTCATTTTGGAATCGCGGATTGCTTGATTTCTATTTTTCAAACATGCAATGGTGCACTTATACCAGACGAAATTATTTTGTCAATAAACATCGATGGATTACCACTTGTTAAAAGCTCCAGTAGCCAGCTCTGGTCTATTCTTGGAAGTATCCGAAATTTTTACAAGAAAAGACCGTTTTTTATTGGAGCATTTCATGGATACAAGAAGCCTCCATCGCCTGATATATTTTTAAAAGAATTTGTTGAAGAAGCGCAGAACCTGAAAGAAACTGGCATCAATTTTAATGGAATGATTATTCCATTTAAAATTGCCTGTTACATTTGTGATGCTCCTGCAAAGGCTTACATTTGTTGTATTAAAAATCATACCGGATATTATGGATGTGGTAAGTGTGAAACTCGAGGAGAGTACAGAGGTAGCGTTATATATCCCGAATTAAACGCCCGTCTGCGTACTGCAGAGTCATTTAAAAATCAGACTCAAAAAGATCATCATACAGGAATAT